AATTCAATTTTATTTCCATTTCTCTCATCATTAACATGGATGGTGGTTGCTGTAAGATCTTAATTTGTTGGAAAGTACTTATATACCCTGGGGAGACAAAGGGGAAAGTTTCTGATGGTTTTGGTTATGCGTGCTTTGCCTTGGATGGCTGTTGAAACCATGGCAGATAGTTTTTCTTAAGACACCACAGGTTTCTAAAAACCTCAAGGTTCAACGAAGGGTGAATTTCATAATGTCCTCTCAGTTAACAGTATAAGCCATGGCAGTTTTTCCTCACTAGTATCCTCCAGAGCTGCTTGACTTCAGGTCTCATTGGCTTCCAAATATGTTTGGGGTCCTGTTTTTAAAAGAGCAGATGGGTTTCCTGTGCACTATATTTCATGACACTTTTTCTGTTTTGTATTTTTTTAGTTTAATTGTAAGCCAAATTAGATAGATAGATAGATAGATAGATAGATAGATAGATAGATAGATATAGCCAGTGATAGAAATATCTGAATCAAGATGTGCAGTTGTAATGCCTGTTTTTAATGGGAATGTAAGGAAGCATTACGGAAGCTAGGAAGGAGCAGAAAAGAGTAACCAAAATGATCAAGAGGACTATAGAGAAATTTGGCACTTCTTAGCTGAAAATTGAAAACAAAGCAAATAAAAAGGGCATGTAAATTTATGCATAGTGTTGGATAGGGAACTTTGTTTCATCAACCTAGCGCACAGGATCTCTCAGTAAAGGTGAATGGTAGGCAACTTGCTGAGATAAAAGGAAGTGTTGCTTCTCGGTGTGCATAATTAAACTGGGACATTAATTATGGTAAGATGTAACAAGGACTACAGTTTGGATCACTGAAAAAAGAGAAATGTGAAAAATAAGACTCTTAGCGATAATTAGTTTTGATGGCTGTGTATGACCCTCGTTGTCAGAGATGGAATGCCTCTCACTGCCAGGAAGGATCCTACTTGTCAAATCTCCTTGTGTTACAGCGGTTCTGGCAGTACACAAACACACATAGTAAATCCAAACAAGGGCATCTGCAGTGCAGGGCCAAGGAGGCCAAGGGGGTGGCCACAGCCATAGAAGTCCCACTCCTTTGTATGTGTGTATGATGCCAGTGAACACAGAAAGGGGCGAGGCTTTGATTAGGCGGTCCTGCCTGCCACCGTGGCTCCTTTGTATCCTGGGGATGCCCCAAAATGACCATTTGAGGACTAAAGATCCCCTCTCTCTTTCTACGGAAAGGGACTAACATCCCATGTGCTCTTGCACTAGTAAATTATTGTCAAGGCATCATTATTTTATTTATATATTTTATTTATTCCATTTATTAGCTGCCCACCTCCCTTTATCCAAGTGACTCTAGGTGGTGTACATCATTACATTGCCCTTCCCCATTGGCCAGTTAAGCAGCAGTGAGCATGAAAAGGAATGAAGGAGGAGAAAAAAGGGAACTGGAAACAGTTCAATACAAACGAAAGCTTACAGCTCCCCACACTGTGGCTGACTATCCCCTTACGGAGCTCAGTAGCCTCTGTTACGGTAGAGCATTAGGGAAGCGTCTTCAGGGGTTGCCAGGACTCCAACACTGGAATTCAAAATGATGACTGGGCTTTTTCCATTATTCTTTGTCTCAGATTCTTCTTCTGTGACTGTTTTTTAACCTTAGCAACTTTAAGATGTGTGGACTTCAACTCCCAGAATTCCCCAGCCAGGGGAAGCAGGATTGGATTGTTTTCTTTGTTCTGACCCAGCATAGTTTTTGTCATGGTATCTAATGCTGAAGTAAAGAAAGAGGTACTACAAAGGGACAGTCTACAAAATATATGGATAGATATGGATAAACACAGTATTTCTGTATTCTTTATATCTTTAATCTTGCAGTTAGTCATGAGTTACTCTTGAGCTAAAGCATTGAGCTAAAGCTTTGCATTTCATTAGACCAGTGTTTTTCAATCGCAGCAACTTTAAGAAGTATGGGCTTCAGCTCCCAGAATTCCCCATGCTGGCCAGGGAATTCTGGGAGTTGACGTCCACACATCTTAAAGTTGCTAAGGTTGAAAAACACTGTATTAGACAAACAGAGAATATTTACATTCCAATACCAAACCAGCCCCAAGTTTCCATGTGAGTAGCTGGGAGACGGGTTGGAAAAGTTTTGAGAGCATGGATGGGGTATTCATTGCTCACAATACAGTGCTAAGTTGGGAACAAGCTTTATTGCATATTTTACACCTGGCTTTTTGACATTATTATGTCCAGTATTCATGCTAGAGGAAAGTGCTTCATAAACAGGTACTAAATACTAAGGGAAGTAAGAAGGACAGTGCTTGGTAGTAGAGAAGTTACAATTTTCTTATTTGCAAAATATTATTTGAAAAGCTTTCTCTTATGTCCAGCTAGGGAGCCCAGATAATTTCATGTTAACCATATTTTTAAGCAAATTAACATTCTCAGTCAGGAGTTTCAAATACATGCAGTGTTCTTTGGCACCCTGGGATTCTGGGAAATCTTGATGAGGTTTCATGAGTTGAAAAAATGTTCATTCAAATGAAGCCAATTTTTTATACTAGAGCTTTGCCACTTGATCAGGGTTTCTGGGAATTTTTTTTTTAATACTAACAATTTCCGTATCCTAAAAAGGTTTAAAAATCCCTATCCTAGATTATTACATGAAGTGGAACAAAGCTATCCTTTGGATTATTATTTTAAGAAACAGCCCTCGGTAACAACAACAATAACAATAATGCCTGAAATGTGTATAAAACATCCATATTAAGAAAAATAGGTGCAAAAGTATAATCTTCCTGCTTTTTTTAAAAAAGTTACAAACATGTAAATGTGACACTATATTATTTGGATCATATATTTTTATCTTCTTCAACAATCTCTTCTGCGCATGTGTGTTTATCCATACACTAGGAAAGGATTAAAGAGGTTTTATAGACTGTGACCCCCTCTAAATACTTCATAATTAAGAGCTGCTTAATAACATCTCGTGAAAATAAAAAAACCTCAAGATAAATGTGAAGATCTATTTTCTTTTTAAAAGATTCAAAGCTATAGCAAACGCCTTATAGGAGTTTTAGCACAATCACCAACTTAACAAACTTGACATTTTAATATTCTGCTACTTATAAATAATTTCTTTACCAATAAAAATAGTATTTATTTTTTCTCTTTTTAGGCAACAGAGAGGAGGGAGAAAAGGCGCAGCCTAACATGTCTGATAATTTGTGGTCAGGATAGAGTTATATAATATAAATGTACATATTTAAATCAATATTTATTTCCGTCCCTCCCTCCCTCCGCGTGCGTGCTCAAGAAGAAGAAGTAGAAGAGGAACCTGCCATGGATGCAAAAACTGGGTCTGAATTTCCCAGTGGGAATAATGAGCAAGTGAAAGAATGAATGCTGAGAGAGAAGAATGCCGTTGTATTAAGCTCCATCACAATGGGAGGTAAACCTCAACCATTTATAAAAGGTAAATGCTGGCAGAACTCAAGGATCTTAGCGCTCCACACTGCAGGTGTGATTTATGAGTCAAGGGACCAGCTATAAATCAAATCTTTTTGTTTTAAATGGTCCTGTTTTGATGCAGTAGATCAATTTACATGCAGGGGGAAAGATGAAAAATGCAGTGTGCTGAATCCAGAAAGTAATAGGGAATCTTATTTAGAATCTGTGGGAAATTTTCACAGTGTATATTTGAGAAGCACATTATAATGAAGGACCATTTTAGCTCAATCCCATGAATATCGGTGGGAAAATAAATGGCACCAAATTACAGGGAGTTTACCCCAATGTAAAAGTGAACAAGATTGTTGCTGTCGATAACCATGTCCCTACTTTCAAATTCTATGAACTTCAGACACAGTCTGGCTTCACATATTCATATTCTAATGTGATTAGAATGATACGGTTAGATCTATTGTGGTATCTCTACCATGGTCTTGTGCCAGAACACTCAAAATGTGTAAGATTTAGGCACTGTCAGTTGAGTTCGCATGAGGTTTGGGCCTTTATTATTATAGTTTTCCAGGTACAGAAAAAGTTGCTGATCCATGAACAATGTGGTTGACAGTTATTCTATCATTCAGAGGACAGCTTGCAAGTGAAAAGTGGTGGGTGATAGAGAAGCACCTATACAATAAATTAATATTAAATCATTACCAAGCTCTGAGTGTGTTCATTTTAAACTGATTGTAGTTAGAGGACTTCATTAAGGCCTCAAACCGGGATGGGCTTCTAAATTCAGATTAGAATGCAAATGGAAAATCTCAGAATGAGGTTCAATGGATTGATTCCTAGGTAGGGTTGCATACATTACTACTAGTAATTTTAAGGTGGGCTATGCATTGTGACACTGCATGCAGAGCTTGTATCACAATGCTGTGGTACTGCTTTTGTCATTTTGATGAAAACCTGAAATCCTGCAGATGCTTCTGGCTACTGCTAAATATACCCTTCAGCAATCTGGCACGCAAAGAAACTCCTGCACAAAAAATCAAAAAGCACCACAAACTATTTAGAAACATTACTTAGCAGTATACTGTCTTGTAAAGGTTTCACATGTAGGAGAGGTGAGAGGGGTCAGAGCTGGTAGACAATGCTTTTCAGGGGCAGCCCCCACTTTTTAGAATAACCTCCCTTTAGAAATTAGGTTGGCCCCCTTATTGTTGGCCTTCCAGGGATTATTAACCGGCGTTGTTCCAAAGGAATTTGGGGCAGTGAAATTATCACCGTTTTTCCTATTGTCCTATGATATTCTGTACTTTTACTATATTTTTCTGTTTTATGTTGCTAACTAGGGTTTCTCAAGCTGTGTTTCATGGGACTCTAGGGTTCCATGTGAATTTGATGGGGTTCCATGAGAGACTAAGGAGGACCCTCCAAAACAACACCACCAAAAAAAGTTATGCAAATCCAGCCAATTTTCTATCACTAGAGTTTTGCCTCTTGATCAAGTTCTGGGAATCTTTTTTTTTTAATTAACAGGTTCCGCAGCCTCAATTTGCTAAAACCTGCTGTGAACCACTGGGAGTCATTTTTTTGAGTCTGGAATTATATAAACACAACAAATTAAATAAAATATACAAAAATTAAGAGGCCAGAGAGAATCCAAAAGTACCAGGCAACCCTTCCCAGTATGGGGATTTTACTCCTGAAGCCACTCATTCCCAAATAACACCTCCCCCCCAACCCCCACCCCAATCTCTTTCTTCTGAATGCGTGTAAGTCAGGCAATGCCCAAGGAGTTGAAATCCTGGCATTCAGATCTTGCTTGCGGCACACAGGTGAGAGAATCAAGAGACTTAAGGCGACAGTTGGGGGAAAAAGAAAAAATGGGGAAGAGAGGAAAGACATGGACTGTGGACAGGGCATGGAGAGAGATGCTAGAGGGAATATTTGTCTCCTATTCCATCTAATTAAAGAAGGAAATTCAGCAACAGCATATTTCCAAAGAGACCACAGCTGAGCAGGCCAGCTTAGACCTGCCCCCTTTCCCTGCCTGCTCTATAAGCAGCGTGACTAGTGGAGAGCATCTTCTATCCAAGGAAGCTCAGTGCTCAAGCAAGGACCCTAAAAACCCAAACTCTTAAATTGTACGGTGAGGCTTTTGTAGGAAATGGAGGCACACCACCACCCATAGCCACTCTATAAATGGAAAAAGAGACAAGTGAATGAGGTGGGGCTAGTACAGTCTTTCCAGTTCTCCCGAATACAAGGAAATGGATACTAGTTACTGTAGACAACTAGAACATGCTCAGGAGTGTCTGCACTGCAGCTTACTCATCAATGCCTTTACTTTTAGGTCTCTTCTTTTCTCATGCTGTTAATATATCTTGCCTTCTCTCAGTACATCCTGTCAATCCATCCAAGATTGTTTTATATATAGTCTTAGGGGAGAGATGCTGATGGTGTCCCACTTCTTTTTTCTTCTCCCCAGAGGAAAGATCAACAGTGTACCTGGTCTCCTTTTGGTCTACAAAGCAGAACTCAAAGATGCCTCTACCTTGATGTGCCCAGCAAACTTTCTAATAAGATCACATTCTCAGCTAGGCTTTAAGGGGCACACAAAAACAATGGGAGAAGCCTGGATACTTCCCTTGCCGCCTTGTTGAGTTTGATAAAGGAAGCAGAGTTCTCCACAGAGGTAGCCTTCCTGTGCAACTGCTTCAATTAAAAGTATGCTGGTAGAAATCAAAAGCTGCAAGCTATGGATTTTCTAAAAACACACTCGGTGACTTTTAAGTTTGCTTTCTGACTTAAATCATATCTACTAACAAGGTTTTGCTTTGTTCTATGAAAATGCTGGAGTTGCACTATATTGGAGTAGACTGTAATCAATTTTTGACTCACATATGCTGGCACAGTGATATGGGTAATCCTAGTTTGCTTTCTGCTTAAAACAGCCGTCCCCAATTTGATGTTCTCCAAACGTACAGACTTCAGCCCCCTGAATTCCCTAGTACCATGGCATGGCGATTAATTAGAATTCTGGAATTGATGTTAACTCATTTGGAGGACATCAAGATTGGGAAAGGTTGATTTAAAAGATCAAAGTAGGCCAAAACCCAAGAAATCATGTTATGCCTTAACAGAATGTAAGAACACAACTACTGTTAGAGACTGAAACCTTCATATCCTGAGTTAACAGTAAACATCCTGTTTGCATGTGGCCAACAAAATTCATCTGTGAAGTCCACAATCCGGATGTGATGGCAAACATTTGCCTGTGCCTTTAGTGATAGAATATAGTAATCAGGGTTACAAGCAACTGCTAATGTTGGTTTCCATGAATTTATGTAATATCTTTTAAGTCAATTTAAATTAGAGGTCGCCAGTTTTTCTTGTGAGAGAAAATACCACAGTATGGTATGAGAAACTGAGAAGTACTTCTTCCACACTATGCATAATTTTAAACCCTCTTGCTCCCATTCTTATCTTTTTCTTAAAAAAAAAATTAAACTAGGTAACTTCTGAACTCACTTCGACCTAAAAAATGCGCATGACTGAAAGTGAGATTAAGTATATGAGCAAGAAATTCAGAGATGAAAATTAACTAAAAGAAAGGCCATAGAAATATGGCCCAAAACAAACAATGCCTGTCTTATCTATGTTACACATAGCAAAGCAATGAGATTTTCCAGTGACAGTTAGTTTTGATTCTCTTTGAAGGAGAACACTGGGAGCTTCCAGCCCCTTTGTAATTTTACAATGTATGAGCAAGAGTTTACTGGAAACCAACCAACCATCTCTGAGAAAGAAGCACAACCACTAATTCTGCTTCACCAAAAGTCTCCTTTACACCAAGATTTTATACCTGCAGCCAAGTCATAGCCTCCCTGCCTGACCTTCTCTGACAATTTTCTCTGAATTTATCAACAGACTGTTTTCATGTACAGAGAATGGGTTTCTGGAACACAGAGCTATTGCCCTTATATTAAAAAAAGAAAAAGGAACAGAAGGATATAGCTCAATTGTGCTAAGGGAACTGTTTGTGTCTGTGGCCCTCCTATGCTAGAGGAAAAGCTTCTGACTGGCTTGTAGGCCTAATTCAGGAGCTAGCACACTTTTCACATATAAATGAGCCCATTGTGTATAGCTTTAAAAATTTATTGTAGGTAGCAGGGCTTTTATAAAGGACAAGATCAAACCTTGTCCAGTAATGGACTTTTACTGAAAAAAGATAATTTAATAATTAATTGTGAAACAGCTGCAGTCACACTGAGGCCCTAACTTAGTATCATGACCGAATAGCGCAATTGATATAGTGCTGCCAAAGGCATTGTTTTTAATGGAGAATAAGATCACTGATGGTATATTGTGCACTCCACCCTTATTTTGCTCCACCATGTCATCAAGTAGGGAGATGACAGCTGCAGCGACTCCTGTCCCACCCTCTATAATTCTTCCTGAGTGTCTCCCTCCCTCCCTCCCTCCTCTAAGTGATGGGATGTGGCTGTTGAGCTTATCCCATCAAGATGTCTGGAATCATCTCGAGATAATGGGTGCAGGGGCATGAGGGGCAAGAATGAACAGTTTGAAGTTCTAAATTTATTGAGAGAGAGTGTCTGCTAGCAAAGTTGCTGATGAAATAAACCTACTTGTGTAACTTTGTGGAGGTCTGATAATCTAAATCCATTTACAGTCTGAAAGGCAAGGAATAAAAGTGAATAAGGTTGTCCTGAAGGAGCTATTTCCATGTGTACAAAAACGCTTGGCTGTCTTATACTCCTTAACAAAGAAGGAAAGTCTTGGCTTTAGGTGGAGTTTCTGATACTCCTTGAAAAGAATTATATAATAGGTGACTGTGGTTGGATTATACATTACAGAAGAGTTGTGTGTTCACAATTTCAGGAGGTCCCAAGCTATTGTGAAGAGTGGTCCTGGGTACTACCTGGTCTGCAGCCCAGATATGGTACACAAAAGTTCCTCAGCCAACTCCAGCAAACTTTTTCCACAAGCTCTGTCAACTCTTCCAGATCAGCCTTCTTCTGCCCCACCCTGTTCTGCTGAGAGAGGCTTCCTTTCTAAGTACTGGAGATTATTTCTGATCAGCTGCAAATCAGAGATACATTTATCCTGGACCTCCATGGATAGAAAAAAACAAGGTTGTTAGCTGCTTTTCTTCAGACTGAGGCTGAGAGCAATTCCTCCCACCTTTTATTTCAGTTGAGGAAATATAATTGGAGGATAGCAAGAGATGAAGACTTTGGAAGAGATTCAACTCCCTCATACCACTATGGAATATAGAGTGTGGTTGGAAACATTAAAATGTTCCTTCTTGTTGTCTCCTAGTCTTGTCCAGGCAAAATGCAATGTATTGAACCAAGATGTCCCTAAGAGGTGGCAGAATATTATTTCAGGAAATATACACAACGATATAGTAGAAAGGCTTGGAAAATCCAAAATATAAGAGGAAATATGAAATATCAGAAAGGACTCACTAAGAGTAGCTGAATTTTCCCCTCATCTCAGTATGTCAGTAATATTCAGAAGTGTAAGTTTCAGGGACAACTCATTGGATTTAAGCTGAGTTACCCCTTCAGTCTGGATGACTGAACTTCATGCTTGGTAGTGAGCAGAGCTTCATGAGTAACCACTGGTCTTGATCTGAGAGGCTAGTGAGATCATAGGTTTAATGAGTCTACTACGCAGAGATTTGGGTTAATGCCTGGACAAGAGATCTCTTGGGAAGCCTATGAACATTCACTTGACTCGCCTGGAAGAAAGGCAGACTAGTAATAATAACATAATAAAAATAATAAACTAATGTGCCTTTTCCATTTCTATCTCACGTTTGCACACAGCACAACTATCTGTATATGGCAGAACTGAAACGGAAGCAATGTTTTGCAGAAGCTGCTAACTTGTGTCTAAAATCCACACAGGCAACACCTTTTTAAATAACCTGAAGTTTTACAAAACAGAAAAAGTATTTTCCAATTTTGTCCAGAATACCTTTTTTCATGGAGAGCACATCTATAATTGCAAATGTTTATGCTTAGATGCAGGTTTACAAATACCTAAGGTAATTTAAATGAAAGTGCAATACATCTCTCATAATGGGAAAAGCTGTAGCCAAGAGACTTAGGTGTCTCCACTCTTGATTTTCAAACTGAACCTAGGCTGATGAGCCTTTCAAACAGAGGAGGGGTTTTCAAACTTTTTCAGGCTGTGGATCTTGTTAATTAAAAGCAAAACAACAAAAACCTAGAACCCCTAATAAAGAGGCAAAGCTCTAGAGACAGAAAACTGGCTGCATTTGAATGAACCTTTTTTTGCCCTTCATCTCTTGAGGAACCCCATCAAGTACTTGAGGAATTCTAGGGCTCTGCAGAACGCAGTTTGAAAACCCTGAAATAGAGGACTGTCCTTTGTAAAATAGGCTACAGGGCCACCAGAAGAATAATTGCATAAGCCTCATAATCACAGTCAGATGTACTGTATCTGTCATAAAAAGGGAGCAGCTGCTCTATGCCACCACAGAACTCTCTTCATTTCTGTTTTACAATCTGTTAAAAAAAGGAGAGGAATGAAAAAAAAAAGGAGAAATACTTCAGAAAGACAAGCAAAAGGGGGGAAGAAGAAACAAGGAAACAACAAAAATATGTTATTTTATATACAGGAAATCTTCAGCCTAAGTTTTACTGATCAATTTTTCCATTGCACTGATAGAAAGTCAGTTTATAAACAGGAATCGGACACAATATCCACCAAGACTGTAAATCTGGGGTCGCACTGCCTTTCCAACAATGAAAAGTAATATATTTTTTGTTGTTCCTATGCTTGATAAAAATGTAATTCCATACCTAGTGATAGGTTTCACATTTTTGGTATCTAATTCAAAAGTACATCACATTTTTCAATTATATTGATCTTTGTAACAGCATATTAATGACCTCATATAATATAACTAAGTGTTCCGTTACCTATTTTATACTATCACGAACACAAGGTTGAGTGTCAATGCATTTTAAACATTATCTGGGGTGTCTAACAAACGTGCTTTTTTTGCTGGTGTTGAATTCATCATAAGACCTCAAGAAGGAACATACTGCACAGTAGTATTCTTTCAGAGCCTTAATCATTGTTTTGTTCATACTCCAACTCTTTAATCCAGAGATTGTACAACTAATATCCACCTTAACTATACTTACTGTTTACATTAAACAATTTATTTATTTATTTTATTTATTTATTTAATAGACTTGTCCCCGCCCATCTCCC